GCGGGTCAGGAGAGGTCTGCCGCGCCATGTGGTCACCTCGGGGCAGGCGGGAATTGAACTCATGCGGAAGCGGCTTTAGATTCTCAGTGTTGTGCTTTATCCCGCTGCGCCACCAGGGAGGGCCCAGTATGTGATCTTTTAATTTGAAGAACAAAAAACTGCCTTTGAAAGAGTGACAGGGTGACATTATTCAACTCTCCTACACCCTCGGACCCCATTCAAGGTGGCTTGGTCATAGAAAAAACCTCACTTTACTGGGGGTAAGGGGGTCTTTATGTGAAGTCATAGTGTGCTGGGGTGTTAGTTGGTCAGTCACCATGAAGAGATAGCATTGGCCCAAATAGGCATCACTCTATTATAACTAGAACAGAACTTTGAACAAGTTAAAGGCACAACTTTTACTGAGATCAAAGGCATTGTAACAGTGAGACTTGTGTAAAGACTGTTCATCAGTACAGGTCAACAGCTTTCTGAGGGGCCTCTCTGGTGGCGCAGGGGTTAAAGTCTCAGCACTAGCAAGCTATGGCAGCCATTTGCTGTATGAGTTCGATCCCCGGCCAGGGAGTGACCCACATATGGTCCAGCAGACCTCTCCTGACACGCCCGCTGCTCCCCTCAGCAGTGGATTTCAGTAGATCCGCCTATTCTGCTCCCCACTGTCTCTGCTGAATCCTCTCACTCCCTGCACCTCTGGCCTACACCCCAGCTCTTGTATGCACAAATAACATAAATAAATCTTTGAGGGGAAAAAAAGGGAGCTTTCTGAAAGACAGTGATGGAACCTACAAATGTACCTAAGAGCAAAGCCTGCCAGCGTAGACTAAGAACACAAGCATATCACACGAAGCTGCAGGGTCTGCTTATTTCTTCGCCACGTTGCTTCTCATTTCACCACTGTGACTCTCTTACCCATACCTTGCTGACGCACATCTGTTACTGTGAGTGGCGGCTGCTGTGCTGACTGCATATTCCTATTAGACAGCTGAGCCCCTGTCATGGCACCGTCCTCACTGGCGTCCCCAAGGCCAGGTGAGGCTCGTCAGACACCCGGCCTGTGCAGCCCTGCAGGTCTTCCTGTTAACCGGCTAGTTGTGGCTCCCAGCCTAGTTCGAATCCCCATTTCTGAAATTTTGTATTTCCTGCCTTTCAGCGAACTTGGTGAAAAGTCATTTCAGGAAAACTTTTACAAACAGCCACCACCAGGTGTCTAACATTTTCTTGGCCCCTGTTTCATTGTACCCTTACTCCTGAGGAACCAAACCCACCCCCTTCCCCCCCCCAAAAAAAAAATCTTGAGTTTTGAAAAAAAGAAAAACTTTAATAAGCTTTTAGTAAATCTAGTGGTGCAAACAAGATTAGTTACATGTCTGTATTAGTAGACATAGAACTGACACGATTTCTTCTTTCCTTGTGTCTCTTCCATGGAGCCAAGGAGGGAGGGGTTCTCATTTTATGTAGCGTAAATGGCACAGAGCAGGGACTGGGAAGTTGACACCTTGGCAACGGACTTCATCTGTGTCCACCTCAGATTCTGGATCTGGAGGCGTGGTCTGTGCGTTCCCTGCAGACAGTAACGGTGTGTCCCTCAGCGTGAGCCATTTACAGCCTCTACCGCAGTGCCAGGCGGGTCTCCGCTTCCTAGTGCCACCCACGGTTACCACACTGTGCTTCTGCCTTGGCTGTTAAAGATTTTAGCCCCCAGCCGTGACAATCAGTTGGCAAAGGTGTTTCTGCCCTGATTCCATCTCTGTCCATCCAGGTGTATGTGTTCAACAGAGATTTGAAAATCTTAAAATTGCCATTTAGCTGATAGAAACACATTGCTACTGTTATTATTATTCATTCTTTCCATATATTTTTGTCATAGATAACAATAACACCTTTTTTTTTTGCATGTTTATCTTTCTTATAGAAAATAAAGAGCAAGCAGCTAACCAGCCTTTAGGTGAGTATGTCTTTAAAGTCCTTGAGCAAAGAACAAAGTATGTGACTTACAGTGATCACGAAGGGATGTCAGACATTTTAATTTGACAGTTTTTATAGATATTTGAATAACATTGAGGCCAAATGTTTCATTTTGGATATTTGTAAAAGAACTTGGAAAAGAGTGTAAGTTTCATTTCTGGGACCACGTCAGCCTCTTTGGAATGATTTCTGTGTTTTGACAACATGAAAACAAAAATGGAAACACAAAGAAACACGCATGTCACACAGAAGTGGTTGGTACTGTCTGGCGGTGGGGTGGGGGATGAGGGAAAGCACCGGAGCGCTGTGCTGCAAGCCTGCGCTTGGAAGGAGGCAGGAAACACGGAGGCCTTGAAGTCCCGGGCCAGAGCTGCAGAGGGGTGACTGGGGTGGTGACGCGCAGGGCTGTGGCACACACTGTGCCGTAGCAAGAGCAGAGGTGGGCGGGCAGACTAAGGGGAGACCATGTTAGCTGGAGCCCACTTCTCATGCCAGCTGATGGAGGGGGCAGCGGGGCTCATCGGTGAAAAGTTGCCTTAGGTCACGGGGAAAGTAAACTGGAAGATGATGATGTGTTTTGGAGAAAAATCAGGAGACCGTTGGACTAGCCTAGCTAGGGCCGAGTGAGACTGCAGACTCGACAGAGCCAGCGACAGGGGCCGCAGATGTCTAGGAGACGGGGCCTGCTGGCGAGCGTGCGTGTCTGAGGTGTTTGCTCGGCTAGGTCAGGGAGCCCCGGGTGAGTGCCGAGTGAGGGAGCACAGACCCCAGGGAAGACGCAGAGCGCACTATCGTTTGGGGACCTCATGTGGGAGGTGTCTGGCATCTGAGGGAAGATGTGCAGCAGGTGCTGCGTGTGTGTGGCCTCAGGAGAGGCTGCGGTGGGGAGAGCTGTGCTGTCAGCAGTGCAGACGTGATGCTAGAGCACAGGGGTGAAGCCATGAGGTCACACAGGCCATGCACACTCCTGGCGTGAGGGGTGGTGGCAGTGGGGGACCATATACTGATTTTTAATAATTACAATCACTTGTCAATGATCAGATAGCATATAGAAATGCAGGTTTCAACATTCTCTCGAAAAGTAGTTGCTGTTTGTGGGTGAATAGTGGCTGCCCTTTTCAGGGAGCATTGTGCTCCCCAGTTTTCCTGTGTTGCAGCTTTCTGTCAGCCTCTCTCCCCCTCGACTGTCCTTCTTTCTCCTCATGGTCTCACCATGTAGCTGTAAATTTCTTTACATGGTGCCAAGATTGCAAAAGTGAAACTGACAGGGGCTCCCCGGTGGCCCAAGGGATGACGTCTCAGCACTACCAAGCCATTGGCAGCCACTGCACGAGTTCCATCCCCAGCCGGGGAGGTGGCCCGCGTGGCACTGCAGACCCCTCCTGACCTTCCCGCTGCTCCCCTCAGTGTATTTCAGTGGAGCCACCTGTTCTGCTCCCCACTGTCTCTGGTAAATCCTGTCACACCCCCCTTCAACCCCACACACACCTGTGGCCCACACCCCAGTTATTTGCATAAATAAATAGATAATAAATCTTAAAAAAAAAAAAGTGAAACCATCAGGATTACTCAAGGGTTAGACCTAGAACTAACAGCGTCCCGGGACAGTGTGCTGTTAGTTCATCACAAGGCAGCCCAGATGTGGGGTGGACATCTGGGGCCAGGATGAGGGTGACCACACTTAGTGGGGCAGGGGTCCCGCGTTCACGGGGGTTGTCTTTCACCCCAGCTGCAAGGATAAGCACAGACTGGAATATGAATGGTGTATATGCAGACTGAGGAGCTTGGACTTTATTTGTAGAACAGAGAGATGAAGATTTATGTACGAGACCAACAAGGACTGTACATTCAACAAATCAGATGTGATGCTAATGCATAATTTTTGAGAGATGACCAGAGAGTTCTTATTTAGTAAACAGTTGCATAGCGCTTGATATGTGCCAGGCCCCTTTCCAGGTATTTATGAATGTGTCGCTCATAATGAATGATGAGTGACACATTCAAAATTAGATCGGGGGACCCTTCCTGGTGGCACAGTGCTGTGGGGCTGTCCGAAGCCACTGCAGCCCGAGTTCAATCCCCAGCCAGGGAGCTGACCCACAGGGCATAACAGACCTCCCCGTCTTGCCCGCTGCTCCCCTCAGCGCTGTATTTTGGTCATTCTGCCTATTCTGCTCCCCACTCTGTCTCTGGTGAAGTATCTCACCCCCTGTACCTCTGGCCTGTACCCCAGTTCTTGTATGCATAAATAAATAAATAAATCTTTAGAAAAAAGAAAAGAAAAATTAGATTGGGAATTAGTATTGTAAAACACATTGTATTGGAAAGTGTCTAGGATCATGTTACAATATTTTCCTGAAGTGGTTTTATTATTCTACTGCTTAATCAACTAGCATTTTTGTTTTTCCTATAATCAGTGTGTGTTCAAGAAATTGTGGGTGGCTTTTACAGTAAATGTTTTCCTCACGTATTTTAGTCATTTGAACAACATCATAAATTGCTTATAGAGTTGCTATTTTGAAGTTTTCTTTGATTCTTCACTTTTATCTCCTCAACTTCAAGTTTTACTGTTTCTTTCTCTACCATAGCTCTAATGTCTGCCTTTTTTTTTTTTTTTCCTCTTCTTACAACTTATTTCCTGGAATGAGTCTTTGTCATTTCTTTTTCAACCTCTGCAGTCTCCTTCTCTTTCTAAATCTTCCCCGGTTTACTCATCATTTGGGAACCATTTTACAAGTAAATTGGGCCAGGTAAGATTTATTTAATTTCATCATTATTAACATCAAATTCCAGAAAATGTTCATAAGACATTTTAGAAACTAGCTATTAAAAATTACCTTTTGGGGCCCTCCCTGGTACCCTCCCTGGTGGTGCAATCGGTTAAAGCACAGCACTATGAAGCTGTCTGCAGCCACTGCAGCATGAGTTCGATCCCCAGCCAGGGAGTGACCCACATGGCGCAGCAGACCTCTCCTGACCCACCCACTGCTCTCCCTAGCAGTGGATTTCAGTATATCTGCCTGTTCTGCTCCCCACTCTGTCTCTGGTGAATCCTCTCTCCATCCCTTCACCTCTGGCCTGTGCACTAGTTCTGTATGCACAAATAAATAAATCTTTTTAAAAAATTACCTTTGGGGAAAAATTTTCAAGAAGTTACAATCAGATACTGATGCATACATTGAAAGGCACATAGTTCTCACAAGTTGAACCCTTGCATTCTGTAAATGCCAGTGTTCTTTCTAAATAGATTTTTTTAAAGACCAACAAATAACGAATTTATATTAGAAACATCCAGTGATGCTTAATTTGAGAATTTTTTCCCCCAAACACACACAGTGATTTTTTTTCTAGTACATATTTTATAATTGTTTTCTATCAGGACAACTGAGACCAGGCTATGTGCTAGAATGAATAATAACCCACCAGAAGGGCCCACTGGGCTAACACCAACATAGCCTGACTGGCTGTGGGAGCCCCAGGATTGGCCAGTGGCCGCTCGAGCTGCAGACTCCTCCCCTCTCACTCCACCACCAAGCTCATTAAGCCCCGTGCTGTGGTAGGATCTGAATTCTGCAAGGGTTGAAGGAGCACACAGGAGAATTCTTTGAATGAGCCAGCTAACAGTTTCTGCTGTGTACGAGTACTTCGGTGTAAGAGTGCATGTTCAGTTTACTTAAGATAAAACTTTTAAAGTGAGATACGAGTGCTGTTAAGTTTTACTGCAGCCTCCTATTGAAATTCATTCTGAGTGTTCTCAACTCTTTCCTTGAGTTTTATCACTGAAGACAGTTAAGCAAAAGCTTTATGTCTGGATTTCTTTGCATATTTAGTAGTCTTAGGAATTGATTTTATCTCTCGGGTGAAAGAAGATATTTCCATTTGTACAGAAGTAAAGTAACTGTTAACGAGGTAGAAATGTGATTTCAGCATCATTTTATATTTTCCTAAAATATATAAAGAAGGACACACAGACACATCTTCATAAAAATCAGCAATTTAGCAGATCCAGAAACAAGAACACACATACATGGTCAACTAATCTGTGACACAGAATATACACTGGAAGGAGGAAATTGACTTCAATAAATGGTGCTGGAAGAATTAGACTGCCACATGCCAAGCAAACTCCTTCAGCACGCACAAAAACCAACTCAAATTGGACAAAAGACTTGGATATAAGACCTGAAACCATAAAACATACAGAAGAAAACAAAGGCGAGACACTCCGTGACATACAATGCAGAAACCCTTTGAGAACTTGTCTCCAAAAGCAAAGAAGAGAAAGGAGAATATAAACAGTTGGGACTATACCAAACTAAAAAGTCCCTGTGCAGCAAAAGAAATAGTGCAAAACAAAGAGACAGTCCACTGAGTACGAGCAAATATTTGCATACCATACATCTCATCAGGGGTTTATATCAAAGACCTACAAAGAGCTCACACAACTCAACAAAACAATTAAACAACCCCATTAAAAATGGGCAGAAGAGCTAAATAGACACTTCTCCAAAGAAATGCAAATGGCCAACTGGCAGATGGAAGACCATCATCACTTGTTATCAAGAAAATGCAAATCAAAACCATTCTGAGATACCACCTCACATCTGTGAGGATGGACCATGTTAAAAACAACAGAAACAAGTGCTGATGAGGATGTGAAGAAAAAGGAATCCTCTTACAATGCTGGTGGGAATATAAACTAAACCTGCCAGTATGTTCAGCAGAAGGTTCCTCAAAATACTAGGAATGGGTCTGCTATGCAACCTAGCTACTCCAATCCTAGGACCCTACCCAAAGAGCACAATAATAGTAAGAAAAGAGAGCTGCACTCCTTACTCCAGCACTGTGTATAGTAGCCAGGATTTGGAAAAAACCCAGATGCCCCCAAACAGATGAATGGATCAAGAAGATGTGTGTGTACATATACATACAATGGAATATTACTTAGTGATCAAAGACGATAAAGTCGTGCCATTTGCGGCAACATGAATGAAGCTGGAAGGGATCATGCTAAGTGAAATAAGTCAGAAGGAAAGAGATAAATATCACATTATTTTGCTTACATGTGGAATATAGGAAAACAGGTCAGACGAAGACAAACCTTGAAAGCTGGGCACAGATATGAAGCATCCTTGGAGGGGTGAAGAGGGAGAGCACCGGGGAGGTGGTGATGAACCTTAGGTGCTTTGTTACTTAAGGGAAGAAATCATATATTGCCCAAAAAATAATTGAAATAATTTTTTTTAAAAGAATAGGCAGTTTATAAGAAATCTCTGAAAATGTGGATCTATAAAGAGACCATGACCATGACATAAAAGCAGGACGACTTTTTGCAGTGGGGTTTTTCTGCCACTTTGAGAAAGTCACATTCTTTGAACTTGAAAACATTATTTAACACTGGACCTCAGTGTTCTGTGGTTTCAGAAGAAATTTTGCCAAAGAGATTTTTGGTGAAAGATAATCATTGTCATGATTTGAAGCCTGAAATTACATTGCATATTGCAAACACCAGATCAACTGTGCTTCCCTGTGCCCGGCTCAGTTTCATAAGAGTGCTCTCCAGAGTAATTTATAAATAAACAACTTAGCGGCACTTGGTGACAGGGGTTGATCACCGGGGCCTGGCATGTCAGAGGGGGTGGCCTGCAACCCTACCCAGTGTGGCTCTTGGCCAACTGGCTGGTCCTGCCCAGTCCTCCTTCTCTGCTGCTCCCTGGCGTCTCCATGGCGGATTATACCATCACACGCGTTGCACAGCCCCACTCCCAGTCGCAAGAAAAAACTACAACAGGTTCTATCGGCGTTGTCTCCCGTTTAGGTACTTAGCGTCCTTTCGCCGCCATGTTGGTGACGTGTGGTGGTGTGGTGGGAGGGTGGGGGGGTTGCGAGGGCGAATACCGGATGGTTTCACTTGCAGGAGGAGTGCACTAGGTCAGGGGGGAAAAAATTGTAATAAAGGGAAAACCAAAATCAACAAGCACTGTAAGCCAGAGACATTCTGCAGGGGGTGAGAGGGATAGGATCAAACAGGGATGGGAAGAGCACACGGGACCGGACCGTGGGATGGCACACGGGGGTGGGAATTCCACAGGGGTTACAACCAAGATGAGAACGCATACAGGGTACAAAAAGGCAGAATGATGTGAAAATATATATTAAAAAAATAAAAACAATTTCAGCTAACCCCTGCAGATCAGCAAAGGTACAGTGCGGGATACCTCTCGAGCGCTAAGCTGTTGTCAAGCCTTCTGCATCTGTGTTTGGACAGGCAGTTCGGCTGACCGAGCAGCTGCTGCTTTGTAAGGTGTGGGCTGGATCTTTTCCTAAACAGAAAGGCTGCTTAGGGCCCTGACCTCAGAGAACTAAGGTCAGCCATGTCCCTAAGGTAGCTGCATCTCAGCTAAGGAAAAACTACATCAACTGAAAACAAGAAGAAACAGCCCTTGTTTCTCCTGCTTTTGCCACCTGCCTTTCCTGGCCTCGGTGCAGTTCCTGTCCTCTCTTCAATGCTTCGTGCTTCAGCCTCTTCCATTCTCAGCATAAAAGAACCTAATTTGTGGGAACCCACTTCCAAGCATTCCGTATATAGAACTGCTGCAAAGCCTGTTGCGTATTTTAACTTTCATTGAAATTCCGTGAAAGTTTGGCTTTGACATTAGTTGCCATTATGCTCCACATAAGCTAATCAGGCTTTCTCCTGGTTCTCAAAAGCTTCCGTCGTTTAATTTCAGTAGTTAATTCCTCAGAAGAGTGTGTGGGTCTGTCCCTAAGGGTTAGCGCTGCCATGAAACTAAGTCCTGGTCCAACCTGGATTGTAAAACCCATTATAATATTTCTGCGTGTTCTATGTTAATCTTTCTATCTAAATTCTCCTCTTTTTTTTCCTTAACAGCAAAGGACAAGGTTGCTCTTCTGATAGGAAATATGAATTACTGGGATCACCCCAAACTAAAAGCGCCTTTGGTGGATGTGTATGAACTGACCAACTTGCTAAGGCAGCTCGATTTCAAGGTCGTGTCGCTGCTGGACCTCACCGAACGTGAGATGCGGAATGCAGTGAATGAATTTTTACTACTTCTAGACAAAGGAGTATATGGTACGATATTTACACCCTCTGTTTCTGTAACTATCCGCTATTCTTTTTTCTGCATAAGTTAGATCAAGAGTTAAATTTTTGTTAAGTGCAGTAAACACACTGAATTTAAGATTTTTTCCTTGTTAAAAATAATAGCTGTTTTCTTCATTCCACGGTTTCATAAGAATAACATGAATAATCATTGTTTTTACTTGGCAAATCAGTCTTGTTACTATCTGTGATTTTGTTTTTTATTCACTATCAAGGCTGCAGTACAGCAAAACTCGATCAAAAAGCAAGTGACACACTCCTGTGTGAAATAACACTGTGCATGTGTGTGTAATATAAAAGGTTGTAACCAGCAACACATTCTGTGTGTTTCTTTCCTTTTTCTATTATTGCATAGGATTTTCTGATCTGTTAGCAGAACCTTGAATTTAGTAAGGAAATGTCTGTGAGTGAAGCATACAAAAACAACTTGTAAATTACAGTTCTATACAGAAATAATGACAGTGACTGTAAATTATAATAGTTTTCCTCGTGCCTTTCTTTAAATATGTTGAGTGCACTACAGAGGTGGTAAAGACTCTGAAAGAGGGAAAATGCTGTCAGAGGGAGTGGGCGCCTTCAGTGATTTATTTCTTTTAACGAGGACAGCCACAGACACCCAGGCGGGCGGCTGCCCTAACTTGAGCCCTGTCAGAGGCTTCTGTGAGTTACACAATCACTCCTGATTGCCAGGGAGGTGACATTTCTAGGCCTGTCGTTAGGATGCCTGTGACAAACAAAAAGCACCAATTTGGCTTCTATATCTTTCACATTTTTTTACTTCCATGATTTCTAAATTTAGCCTTCTTATTTGTAAACAGGTCAGTGTGATGAGGCAAGCTTGATAGAATTGCTAATGGCTCTCAAAGTAGAATTTTAAAGGAGAAGAGTACTTTTTTCCAAGACTTCCTATGTTATTGTATGTGAGAGGGGAGAAAGTCTTAAAATCTGATTAAATGAATTTTGAGTGTGTTTCCTCTTAATAGCAAGGGTTAGTCATAACACAAATGATCCAACAAAGTAAATACCTCAAATTTGGGATTTCGGCTCTATGCCGATATATTAACAAGATCTTTTTATGAGCACATGACCTAATGGGTGAATCCATTCATTTTTCTTTTTTTTGAAAATTTACTTTTTTTTTTTATGTGTTATGAGAACTGGAGTTTAGGATTTGGGGGGGGGGGGGTGAGAGGAGTCACCATAGACCAAGTAGGGAGCAGAACAGGTAGGTGGACTGCACTGCTGAGGGGAGCAGTGGGCGAGACAGGAGAGGCCTGCTGTGTCATGTGGGTCAGCTCTCTGGCTGGGGATCGAACTCATACTGCTGTGACTGGTGTTAGCTTCATAGTGCTGAGACTTTAACCCCTACACCACCAGGGAGGCCTTCTATTTTCTTAGGAAATATGATAAAAATATACTATAGAAATGTACGCTCTTGATAATTTTAGTTTATATTTTGCTTTCTATTTTTATTCTGGAATAAGTTGGTTGTTTGGTTCTTTATATCATATCATTTACCTCAGTTTTTGAAGTGCCTGGATGGTTTTCCTGAAGCCCCAAGTCATTACAAAAAATAATGGAGCAGTTTAACGATGGATAGAAAGTAGAATTCCAGTGACGAGCATGAGGGAGCATATACAGTGTTGATATAAGTCTGTGCACCTGGAACCTAAATAATGTTATATAGCAGTATTCCATCAATTCTTTAAAATGATAATGAGGTAAAAGCTAAACATGTTAACCAATTTAGAGTTTGAGATTGGTGAAGTATTTTCAGAGTGAGGGGATGAGATGAAGAATTATGGACTGGATTGTTTATTCTCATTTCTGGTTGACATTGTCGGAATCAGAAATACTAAAAATTTGTGGCAAAAAGAGTCCAGCTTATATGGAAGCTTTGTCCCGGTATCATCTTGGAATTTAGAATAAGAAGACTTAAGAAGGCTAGAAAGTTTTTAAAATCCTGCGGTTTCACTTTTTAATAGAGGGGCTGCATGGTGTTTTGAAGTATAGCGAATAGCCAACATGAGGCACACCTACATTAAACCTAAGGGTGTGCCAGAGGCCAGAGGGCCTACCTCCTCCACCTCCAGGTGTGTCCCCAAGGGACTGCGGGGGGGGGGGGGGGGAAGCGGCACAGTCATAGGATTTCAGCATGAACAACTTCACATAGGAAAACAGCCTCAAGAAAGAGTTGATGCCCTCAGGGAGCCGCGTCCCGAGGCACTCTCATGGTGTAGCGAAGCCCCATTCATTATTTCTGGATTATCTTTAAATGAAGAGGCCCTCACAGTTCAAGAATAAAGTCTGGGCTGATAGCTGCACCAACAAAAAAAAAAAAAAAAAGTTGATGCCCTTTTATAAGATAGTGCCCATAGGCTTGTAAGGAAAAACTGCAACAGATCAGAAAAGAATTCACGTTTAGACATACATAATCATAAACACAGTCCAAGAACAGCGATGACTGATAACACCATGTGCTTGAAAATGAATAAGGACGACAAGGCCCAGTCACCCCTTGCGGGGAGAGTGACCATCGGTCTGCCGTCTGTCCCGCCAGTGCCTGGCCACACAGAGCACTGGCTGCAGCTTAGCTGTGCTCTTGCGGCGAAATGCTGGAGGTGCTGCGTGAGAACACGGCGAAGGCTCATGCACCCCCGCAGCCCTCCGGCCCAGTCGCTGGGCTGAGCTCAGCGGGAGCCAGCCAGATGCGGCGCTTGGCTTTCCTGTTTACTAGCTGAGTGGTCACGACCGAGTTACTTGATTCTCCAAAGCCAGAAAGTACTTACACAAGGGATAGGCTAACTTACTTAATAAGGTGGTTTCAGAATAAACAGGATGAATTCATTATTCCCCTGCTTGGTACACCAGACGTGCTCAAAGTAATTGTGGTTATCCTAAAGCAGTATTTTTTTTTTTTAATTCTCAGATGGGGGCTTTCAACTTCTACTTCAGGCCTCCAGTTACCCAGTTTGCATCTATTATTTTATATTGTTTCTGCTTAGAATTTATTTAAAAACAAGAGGAGGTTTTTTTTTAAAAAAAAAAAAGATTTATTTATATTCATACAGAACTGGGCTACAGGCCAGAGATGTGGAGGGTGAGAAGATTCACCAGGAGCAGAGCGGGGAGCAGAACAGGCAGATCAACGAAGTACACTAGGGGAGCAGTGGGCGGGTCAGGGGAGGTCTGCCGAGCCATGTGGATCTCCTCTGGGGCAGGCGGGGATCGGACTCATGCGGAATTGGCTTAAGCTTCTTAGTGCTGTGCTTTAACCCGCTGCGCCACCAGGGAGGGCCCATTTTGTTTTTGTTTTTCTTTTAAGTAATAGTGCAGGGATGCGGGGATTACAATTGAGATGGAGGGAGGAAATGTACAAAATGATGTAAAAATAAACTGTCATACAAAATTTTAAAAAAATAGTGCAAGGAAGCCAGAAGAGCCCGCGCACTGACACTGTGTTTCTAAGAATAAAGGTAACTGGGAAGGCAGCAGGAGATCGCAGCACGACATCATGAGCACAGTGGTTAGTCTGGCCAGCTTCCAGCTTCCACTTCTGGCCCTGATTAGTCATGTGAACTTGGGTGTCTCAGTTTTTACATCCGTGAAAAGGGGGGATGGGTGCTGTCATTACCAGCCTCACCGTGCAGTATGTGTGAGTAGGCAAAAAGCAGGAGGTAATCTGAGTGTGTCACTCTCTCCAGCCAGCACCTGCACGCACAGGAGCTGTGTCAGCGGGGCTGGGGCTGGGGGGTGGATTTAATTAAGTGAATAGCAGTTAATTAAGTGAACAGCAGTGCTAGAGATGGAGTTTTTTAAATACAATGTTAGGTCTAGTTTTTTTTACATAAAAATGCAGACTGTGTAATTTAGGTGTAAACTTTGATACAAAATGCTTCTGCTTGGGCCTCCCTGGTGGCACAGGGGTTAAGTATCAGCGCTATCAAGCCATCACCATCCGCTGCAGTACAGGTTCGATACCCAGCCAGGGAGGTTACCCACATGACACAGCAGACCTCTCTCCTGACCCGCCTTCTGCTCCCCTCAGCAGTGGATTTCAGTCAGTCCACCTCTTCTGCTCCCCACTGTCTCTGGTGAATCCTCTTGCCCCCCCCACACCTCTGTTCTACACCCCAGTTCTAAGAAGTATGCATAAATAAATACATCTTTTCAAAAGGGAAAGGGGGTGGGGTAGAAAACAATAAATAAATGAATGAATAAAAATGCTTCTGCTTTCAGAAAAAAATCCTGGGGTGAGGAAAAGCCGTTGCATTCTAAGTACCTTAATTGCAGTGGTTATAGAACTGAGCATATGGCATTGAAATTAACAGACCACACTTAACTGTCCCCTGGATGATGGAGGCGAAGCCTCTCCTCAAAGTCACTATCCCGAGTCATTTCGATAGAGCCAGGCATGCTGATAGTATGGACTGCACCCAGGCACCTGGTCAGCGGGCTCTAAAAGTACTATCAGCTGTGGAAATGGAAGCATTTTCTATTAAAGCCAGATTGTCTGTGGGACAAGCTGCAGACCAGCCTCGGTTGTGACTGGCGTTTGCATTGATGATTGAGTGCATCAATAAGTGCTTGCTGCATTTCTGTAGTAGCCGCAACCCAAATAAAAGCGAATACTAGGTGTTGCGTAAGACACAGAAACAAAGAACATGATTTGTGTAATAGGAAAATTATAAATCCCTCAGTATAATGGGGGGGAGCGAGAGAGGGAGCCAGACACCTACCAACTCAATGATTTTCAGCAAATCATGTCATCTTTTAGATCTTCCTTTTCTCATTTATAAAAGAGGTAGAAATTATTTCAATATTGTTGTATGGGTTACAATCTGACTGTGTATGTAAAGGTATTTTGAAAACGATGAAAATACTGTGCAGTGCAAATGATTACTGTCTTTGTTATCACTTTACATCAGAGAAACAATCTACATAGAAATGTAAAGTATCAATTAAGGCCAGTATGGTGATTTTAAGCGTCAAAACCTGCTGTTACGGGCTCTCAAAGGAGGGAGAATGAGGTGTCCAAGGCTAGAAAGCAGGGGATCACTTGCCAAGGGTCCTAAATTTAAGGTAACCCTTCGAAGATCAGTTAAGTGGAAGAGGAGCTAGAGTAACTTGAGTAGGGTCTTGGAAGTTAACACTATGTGTATCGTGCTCTAGAAGCAGTAAAGTCAAATATGAATAAAGAATCATATTTTGAGTACTTGGCAGGAGTGTAAATGTTGCTCTTTCAAAGTGCACCAACCAGTGATCTGAGTACACTCAGTCATGCATCGTCGCCAGCACCCTTTGATCCCAAAGAGGAGCCCAACCCATTATCTGTGGCCCCCCATTCCTCCTCACCCCAGGCTGCCGGCAAGTCCACTTTCTACTGGGGACACTCCCTGTACACCGAGCCTTTCCACGTGTCCTTTGCACTTGTTCCTCTCACCAACTCGTGTTTCCAAGCTCCGTCTCTACTGTTGTGGTGTTTGTTTTTTACGATTTTATTTATTTATCATACAAGAACAGGCCAGAGATGCAGGGAGTGAGAGGTTTCTCCAGAGACAGAGTAGGGAGCAGAACAGGCAGATGGACCAAAACGCACTGCTGAGGGGAGCAGCTGGTGACACCAGAGAGGTCTGCTGCACCCGGTGGGTCAGCTCCTTGGCCGGGTGTCGAACTCGTGCTGCAGCGGCTGGGGACAGCTTCCTAGTTGCTGTGACTTAACCCCTTGCACCACCAGGGAGGCCCCATGTCCCACGGTTTTCAAGGCTGCCTCTGCCCTGAAGGTGATATTGTCTCATGAAGGAGACAAAAATGAGGCAACAAAGAAATCTGTAGCTTTTTTCTTTTGTATATATCACGAGAGAAAATATGCATCCCATGTCATACAATACATTATAAATATATAACTCCTATGAATTAAAATACACGCAGGACAGTTTTTTGAGGTTTATTCAAAAGACCCTACTTACATGAAGCCAAAATAGTTTTCAGCAAAAATTTTGTTAACGTTGTATTGATAATTGGGTGTCTCTTAAGGAAATTTGCATTGACTTCAAGAAAATGCTTCCTTTTTTTCTAAGAGTACTACATACATGTTTAGAGCACAATTTACAATTAGGATTTACCCTTTATCTTTCTTTTCAGGATTATTATATTACGCAGGACACGGTTATGAAAACTTTGGAAACAGTTTCATGGTCCCTATCGATGCCCCAAATCCATATAGGTCTGAAAATTGTCTGTGTGTACAAAATATACTAAAATCAATGCAAGAAAAAGAAACTGGCCTCAATGTGTTCCTGCTGGATATGTGTAGGAAAAGGTAAATCATCTGCCCTTCATCCACAAAGCTTGTTGGAGTTAGCAGCCATAAGAAATTAAGTTTGAGGAAAACTGAGCGCTGAGTTGAGATTATGCACTGACTGAAACTGATTAAGAGAATACTAAGGGAAAATATATTTCTCCACATATGTTTCAGTTTAGCTTGTTTTCTCTTTGCCATAGAACATCAGCGAAGGCTTAAGGGTGTGGCATTTACCCTTGCAAGTGCCTTTAGGTGTCTCTAGCAGTCTCCAGTTCTTCTGGAATTAGCAGAAACGGTGGCAGCCAGAGTCAGGACCTCGGGCCACGCCAGTCAGTCCTGGCCTTGCAGTTGTAGAAAGTTCAGCTGCACCACTTGTGCAAAGCTTTGGGCCCCACTTGTTTGCCTTGTGTTACCAGGAAATAGCGCTGTAACCCTGAGGCTTACAGCTTTCACTTGCTCCGCCTTTACTGATCAGAGTCCAGCGCCAGAGTCCAAACCCAGCTCCAGAGTCCAAACCCAGCTCCAGCGTTAACGATGCTGTCTCGGCGGTGCTGGTAACTACATAGCCAATCAGATGAAGGAATTTTGAGTCTGTAATTTTAAATTATGTGTAATAGCCTTTTACCATATTCTTACTACAGTTTGACTGATTTTTTTTTTTTAAGAATGCTGCTAAACTTTTCATATTTATATGTGTCCCTCTCCCTTCCTGCCTTTTGAATAGAAATGACTACGACGACACCATTCCGATCTTGGATGCGCTGAAAGTGACTGCCAATATTGTGTTTGGATACGCCACGTAAGAAGATCTCACGTTTAACTGGGAGAGTCCTCCCTTGGGAGTGTAGATCAGAGTCCTAGAAATGGCCAGAGGTAGCGAGGCCTCTGTATTTGCCTCCCTGGCATATTTGATGTAAAATCTGAAGTAGTTAACCCTTCGTATCTTCCCACCAAGCATGTATTTCCCGCTTAGAGACTAACTCTCTAGTTAGGGTGTCGGGGAGAGGGGAGACGGGGCCTCGTCAGCATCTGTGGGAGCCTCATACAGCAAGTGTTTGCTTTTTTTTTTTTTTCAAGATTTATTTATTTGTGCATACAAAACTGGGGTACAGGCCAGAGGCTCAGGGGCGGTGAGAGGCTTCACCAGAGACAGAGCGGGGAGCAGAACAGGCAGATCGACGAAGTACACTGCTGAGGGGAGCAGCGGGCGGGTCAGGAGAGGTCTGCCACGCCATGGGATCACCTCCGGGGCAGGCGGGGATCGAACTCATGCGGAAGTGGCTTTAGATTCTCAGTGCAGGGCTTTAACCTGCTGCGCCACCAGGGAGGGCCACAAGTGTTTGCTTTTTAAAATATTTTTCTTTTGGCTGTTTTTAAGATGTCAAGGGGCAGAAGCTTTTGAAATCCAGCATTCTGGATTGGCAAATGGAATCTTCATGAAATTTTTAAAAGATAGATTATTAGAAGACAAGAAAATTACTGTGTTACTGGATGAAGTTGCAGAAGGTAAAAAATAATAATAATAAGATAAAAGCTAGAAAGGGGCCTTTGGAGGTGAACTTGTTCAGTATTCTTATGTTTGCCTATGCTATTCCTAGCGCCTCGGACAATGCCTGACATAATAGGTGCTTAGCAAACGTGTGTTGAGTGAAGATGTGATGATGAGGATAGTACCTGATTTGTGAGAGAGTTTATGGCCTAAATACCGAAAATGCAATCAAAGAACTGTGGTCTTAAAAATAACACTCTTTATCTTTTAGATATGGGTAAATGTCACCTTACCAAAGGGAAACAAGCTCTAGAAATTCGAAGTAGTTTATCTGAAAAGAGAGCACTTACAGATCCAATACAGGGCATGGCTTATTCTGCGGAGTCTCTGGTGCGAAATCTCCAGTGGGCGAAGGCACATGGTACGGTAAAGTAGATTTCTATTCATCTAATAATTAATAATGCACAATCTCTTTTATTCGCTGGTATGGTGAGCTCTTGAAGTGCGCTGATTTCACAGTCAGATAGGACTGGATTCTGATCTGTCTCTACCCCGTGGTGAACATGTGCTCTGTGAAATCACGTTTACTTCAGAGAATGTAGGTGCTGAATGAATGAGCTCGCACAGCAGCGACTGCACGGGGTCACTAGACTCAGAGTCACTAGACTCAGTCAATTCACTGCAAAAATTGTATTGATGGGGGAGGGAGAGGGTACAAACTGAGGGCAAGGGACAAGGGACTAAGGAGATGGCGCAGGGGTGCGCTGGTGGAAGTCCACATGGGGACTTCACCCGATGTAAAACATATGCAACTAAAGACATTAAATATAAAAAAAATGTTTAATTGTATTGATTCCCACTATAAAACTTCAAGACAGTGTAAAACTCTAGGACAGTAAATGAGAGGGCTTTCTTTTCTTGACCAACAGAATCTAGGGTTCATCTTCCCCTCTTTTTCAACTGTGTATGTCTTTACAGGATTACATAGCACTTTGAAATGAAAAGAAAACGGCTCTGATTCTATTCTGCCCCATAAATAATATTTGTTTGTTGATTATCAAAACACCAACAAGTACTCTTTAATTATTTACAAGTTATTCTTATTCTTTTCCAGAACTTCCAGAAAGTATGTGTCTTAAGTTTCAGTGTGGTGTGCAGATTCAATTAGGATTTGCAGCTGAATTTTCCAATGTCATGATAATCTACACAAGTATAGTCCAGAAGCCCCCCGATATAGTGATGTGTGATGCTTACGTCACCGATTTTCCACTTGTAAGTCTCCTTTTCTGTTATTTAAAATGTAACAGTGTCACTTGCTAAAGTCTAAAATTATGAAAACAAGCTTGATGGGAAATATAAAGGAAATTACATACACAAATGGAATTTGTAGGTAAACACTCATTTGTATTTCAGTCTAGCGGTCTAAAATACAAATAAGGGGCCTCTCTGGTGGTGCAAGGGGTTAAGTCTCACCCTTATGAAGGTCTCCCCAACCACTTTGGCACGAGTTCGATCCGCGGCCAGGGAGCTGACCCACATGGCACAGCAGACCTCTCCTGTCTCCCTGCTGCTCCCCTCGGAAGTGTATTTCAGTAGCTCCACCTGTTCTCTCCCCACTCTGTCTTTGATGAATTCTCTCACCCTCCACACCTCTGGTCTACATGTATCTTGTATGCATAAATAGATAAATCTTGTTTTAAATATGTTTCTAGGAATAGTCTGAAAGTAGCTATTCATTTAAGAGCTTTTTTTTTTTTTTAAAGATTTATTTATTTGTGCATACAGAACTGGGGTACAGGCCAGAGGCTCAGGGGCGGCGAAAGGCTTCACCAGAGACAGAGTGGGGAGCAGAACAGGCAGATCGATGAAGCACACTGCTGAGGGGGGCAGCGGGCGGGCCAGGAGAGGTCTGCCGCGCCATGTGGTCACCTCCGGGGCGGGCGGGGATCGAACTCATGCGGAAGTGGCTTTAGATTCTCAGTGCTGTGCTTTAACCCGCTGCGCCACCAGGGAGGGCCTCATTTAAGAGCTTTTTTAACTCTTATTACTCGATAACATTGTTTTGTGGCTTCTCTAGCCCTTCGTAAGGGGTAACCTGCTCAGGTCAGTCTTCCTGAGAGCACGGTGTTGAGCGAAGCATGGCTTAGTGCCATACATGTGACTGTCATTGATTTCACTGAAACGTCTGATTTCCCAGGACCTGGATATTGACCCAAAAGATGCCAATAAAGGGACACCTGAAGAAACCGGCAGCTATTTAGTGTCAAAGGACCTTCCCAAGCATTGTCTCTACACTAGACTCAGCTCATTGCAAAAATTAAAGGTCAGTATTTGTCCTTTTTGTAACTACTGGTGGAAAACTTGTTGAGAGTGGAACTTCGTTTCGGCATGCAAGCTTTTATGAGTGCGCAGATGGGCTGCTTCATCAACTATGCAATTCCATTAGGGCCGACCAGCCACAGGGAGCCTTGTCAGTGACCTCGTCCTTGAGTATTCTGTCCTGAGAGCGGCGGAGGGGTCTGCTGTGAAACATGTGACCGCCCTCCACGTAGCTGTAAAGTTTAGGGACAGCGCATATTCTACTGTTACGTACCCTGGCATTTTCAAACAATCATTTTCTCGTCCCATGACTTTCTAATTCCAAATTAGATTTGGAATTGATCTTTTTGTATTCCTTGTTGGCATACACATCAGAAACTCTCTCCCTGAACTTTCTGCTAGAAATGTGTGTCTTTGCCAAGCCTGAGTGTTTCCATATAGAGCTGCACCACCATAGACGTATGAGCCATAAGCAGGGAATGAAGAGGGCGAACCCTAGTTCCTCAGACACAGCAGGCCTGCCGCCAGCCCACTCGCCGTCTCCTTCACCCGTCTCCTTTACCCCTGAAATTCAGCCCATTACCTGGTTATAGTTCGCCACCTGTAATTGTGCATTATCACCTCGCAGTATTTTTTTTTAAGATTTTATTTATTATTCATATAGAACTGGGGTATAGGCCAGAGATGCGGAGGGTGAGAGGATTCACCAGAGACAGAGTGGGGAGCAGAACAGGCAGATCGACGAAGTACACTGCTGAGGGGAGCAGCGGGCGGGTCAGGAGAGGTCTGCCAGGCCATGTGGTCACCTCCGGGGCAGGCGGGAATCGAACTCATGCGGAAGCGGCTTTAGATTCTCAGTGCTGTGCTTTAACCTGCTGCGCCACCAGGGAGGGCCACCTCGCAGTATTTTTAAAAAAACAAAATACATGTTGACCTAGGGTAAAGCCTGAACATGGCTTCCTGCAATGGCGACCGTCTCCAGTGGTGGGGAAGGGTGGGCCCCCAAGCCCCTGGCTTGGACAATATGCCTATCCCCAATTCTGCAGGAATACTGCACATGACTGTGGTCACTCGTTCGAGCTAGAGTTCTGACTGGGATGCTGAGGGAGGAAGGCGGGGCGTCACTGGCCTCTCCCTGAGGGCAGGGAACCCCGGGAAGGGGCGGAGAGCAGGTTTGTGCGCCTGTACGTCTCAGAGACGGCATCTTCTCACAGCTGACCGAGCCTGTGTGCTCCTTTCCAGGAACACCTAGTCTTCACGGTGTGCCTGTCCTACCAGTACTCGGGGCTGGAAGACACCGTCGAGGAGAAGCAGGAGGTGAACGTCGGGAAGCCGCTCATCGCCAAGCTGGACATTCACCGCAGCCCGGGGAGGAAAACCTGCTTTCCGACGTGCGTCGCGGGCACAGACCCCTACCCCAGCGCCGGCCCCGCCAGACACTACCGCTCGGCCCCAGACTCCTTCCGGGGCGCCTACCACTCCCACCTGGGCACCCCGAGCACCTCCGTGCCCGACGACTGTCGCTGCAGCCGCAGGGCCGGCGCCTTCCTCGCCGCTCATCGCGCCCACTACTCGTGCCAGCTCGGCGGCGGAAACGTGCCCGAGGAGACAACGGACGAGATGCCCTTCGCCTTCTCCAACGGGCTCGGGCTTCCTGAGAAGTGACCTTGGCTTTGACAGTGACACCTTAGTCGGGGCCCCCGACGGCCGTGCTCCTAGAACGTGAGGAACTGTAAAAAGTGAACATGTCATATGTAGAGAGAGAATCAGCTGGGCCGTTTCATAGCAAGCTCAGGACCCTGCGAGCCCGGAGGTGTGTGACTGAACTGCAGAAGTCTTCTTCCTCTCCCCAAGGTGCTGTGACTCACCCTCTTCTGTCAGGAAGGGCGGTGTGCCCCTGTCTTGATGGACCTGATGAAATGTGGTCATGTTTTCACTTGACCACCCCGAGCATCATGGGAAGGCATTCTTGGAGAGGTCTCTGTCTTTAGAACCGGAAAAAGCAGCTCTGTGGTCACCACGCTTACCCTCATTTCCCTCCATGAGAGAAACGGCCGAGCCTTCTTTAGGTCAGTGCTGGCATCCGAACTGGACTCTGGGTTTCAGCACCGGCACCTTTTCCACTACACGTGGCCTCCCTTGCAGGCTTTATTTTTGTAGATAGATTTAATGGTGTGTAAGTACACATGTGAGTGTGTGACCTGAAACTGTACAGGCTTCAGTTGTGATTATAGGATATTGCAGCAAAACTCGGTAAGAGATATGTATATAGATCTTATAGAACAGGCTGGAATTTATCGTTCTCGAGGTCACAAAAGGACATTGGGGGAGACGGTCATTGTTCTGCTGAAGCTGGACAGCAGCCGTCACTGAGCCTTCGTCGACTTTGAACCTTTTCTTGCAAACACTGAATGTGTCTTCTTTGATAATCAGTATTATTTTACTGAACCTCACTGGCCTAAGGAGAAGACCTCATCACCACCTTTTGTTGCACCAAAATAAGTTAAAAGAGCACCTGGCAATCATCTAGGATAAATGGGGTTCATTTTAAAACATAACATCCCACAAAAAAAATCCTAGTCCCAGGCGGCTCACCGCTGCATTCTGACAACCACTGTTAGCACCAACCCTCCATGCAGAAGAGGTGAGTGCATGTCCCAGCACACTTCATTATTAGGCCAGTACCAACCTGATACAAAGCCAGACGAGATCACGAGGAAACCGGAGGCCAGTATGCATATGGCTACAGACAGAGAAATCGTCATCAGGATTCTGGCAGGCGGACCCGAGCCACCAAAAACAAGGGCCTCGCCACAGTGCTGATGCTCTTTAGAGCGCTGGTGCTAAGTGCCAGCCCCCGGCCTGGCTCTGGAGAGTATCCGTGTGTGCGTGTGCACGTTTGTTCCCTGAGCCTGCGAAATCCCTCTCACTCTCTGCAGTAACGCTCGCCTCGGGCTCGCTGCCTGAGCGCCTGCTGGTGGAAAGTGGCCCCCATGGACGCGCTCAAGGCCGGGCTGCCACTGTTTGTAAAATACTAATTATCTGCGAAGCACAAGAAAGCAAAGCTCCAGGAAGCAAGGCAAGTCCTTGTGCAAAACTCAGAAAGATCACGATCTTAAATCCCAAAAGCAGCTTACCCAAAAGGCAGGTTCTGATTATTTTATAAGAGGAAAATGAGGTTCAGAGGTACTAAATGACCTCCCTGAGGAAGTCCCACTAGTAGGTACAGAAGTGGGGCTCAGACCTGTCTAGCTGGCCCCGAAACCAAGATACGTGCCCACTCAGCCCCACCTGCCTCATCCTCCCTGGGCACTCTTTGTGAGCGGCAGGAAGAAAGCAAGCAGCAAGCAGCAACTCCTGTGTGACCGTAAGGTGTGCGCGCCTCAGGGCCGGGACTTTGGTCAGTCTGCACGTGTCCATAGATGAGCATAAAAATCCTCAGCTATTTTATTAAGTTGAGGATAAATTTTGCAGGTAGATTGGCAAATTCATACATAACTATGAATAATAAACAATTGAACCATTTCAAAAAGGGCAAAATTATGACAGTTGTCTTCATGGAAGAAAAAGTATTTGGTAAAATTCACCCACTCAAGATTAAAATGCCAAACTAGAAGTAGATAGGCACGTGATAATGGACAGCCACAGGAAGCCACGGGGGACCTCCCACGTGGGGCAGCAGGCCGCAGAAGGCATACCCCGCAATCGGGAACAGCACCCGGATGCTGTCTGCTCTCCCCTCTCCTATGCACTGTGCTTGAGGTGTTAGCTAGGGCAGCAGGCAAGAGAAAGAAAAGCAAGGGTATTGGGAAAAAAAGGTTATGTGTTTTCACAGCGGACATTTCCTGAGAAATTCCTCTAAGACCGAATGGCTATAGCAACGCATATTCTGAAATTGAGTTCAAATTCCACTTGACAGTAGTATGGAGATGAACAAAGTAAAACTGAAACTTTATTGAAAAAAATTAAAGAAAACCTAACGGAAAGACATCTGATTTTGGATTCCTGACTTCCAGGAGAGGGGATAGTACAGTTATGTTTCAATCTACCAAACATAGTAATTGATGAGGACAGCCTAGGAAATGAATACCAACAGGCAGCTCACAGGTGCACCAGCCCTCAGGTAAACTCCGCCCCAAGCTGCCTTGGGAAGGACATTGATTGGAAAAGGCAGAAGTGATCATGGGTTCGCCCTACTTTCTGTTGAGAAGGATTTTGATTTGACACGTCTCTTGCGCCCCCTCCTGGCCAAAAGCAGGAAGTGTCCCACTCCCAGAACTTTATTTGAAAGCACAAATAAAATGGAACAGAGGGGATCTCAAAACTTAAAACGGTGATTTAAAAGAAAAAAAGCTATCTCCCCCCCGATCAAACTCTTAGAAAAGAATGAAGACAGAAGTACCCCCCCAACATCCTTGAGGTTCCCTCCCACTGTTCTCACCTCTGGTAACCTCAAGACAGTTATCAATGTTCACAAATTTTTGTTTTACTTTGTCGTTTTATTCGTTTCATTTCTTTACAGTCCCCTGTATACACAAAAACATCCACTGTGTGTGTTTCTGGTGGGGATGTAGGCTGGTCCAACCACTATGGAAAGTGTTGTGAAGGACCCTCAAGTTATTACAAATGGATCTACCGTAAGACACAGCAATTCTACTCCTAGGAATCTACCCAAAGGACAAAAAAATATTAATTTGAAAGAATACCTGCACCCCTATATTATTAAAACACTATTTACAATAGCCAAGATATGGAAACAACCTAAATGCCCCAAAATAGATGATTGAATCAAGATGTGGTGTATTTACACAATGAAATACTATTCAGCAATCATAAAGATAAGCTCACGTCATCCTCAGCAATGTAGATGGAGTAGAAGGGCTTATGTTCAGTTAAATAAGTCAAAAGGGAAAAAAATATTGGATGATATCACTTATAGAGAAATATAGGGAAATGGAACAAAGGGTCAAAAAAATAGACAAGACTTGTAGGTAAATAGATCTGAGGCTTAAAGCAGGGGAGGGGGAGGGAAACGGACCGAAACTCATGGAAAGAACACCGGGGACCATGGTGATGGCTCACAGGTGTTGTGGCCGTGGGAGACTTACGGAACTACAACCAAAAGAAGAAATCAAATACTGTAACAAAAGGAACACTAATATAAGGGAATTTTTTAAATGGGGGAGTTGCCTTTATCTTCCAGGCTAATTTCTCTTTACCCTCAAGGTCCTTCCACATTGCTTCAAATAACAGAATCTGAGTGTCTTTCCTCCGGTCTGGAAGAAAGTAGAGACGGGAGCACTTTTCCCGAGGCCTCCTGCTCACCCAAACCCACTCAGCTTTCCTGGTAAATGCAACTCCATGCTGATGAGCCATCCTACAACATGTTTTTTTGTTTGTTTATTTTGAAAGATTTATCTATATGCACACAAGGCCTGCCCCTGCTCAGTCCCAGAACTGGACTTAAACAAACTACAGAGCAGGGCCTCCCTGGGACATCATTTAGTTCCCTTCCCATGGGAGAGGCTGGACAATTGCCTGGAAAGACCCCCCACCTCCTCACTCCAGAAGCTGGGGCTGCCTCCTTTCCAGAGGGAGTTTGCAGTGCAGTAACAACTTGAGGTGGGGAACTGACCCTGGGCTGTCTGGGAGGGCCGGTGCCCTCTCTGGAGCGACGGTGGGGGAGTCAGGACAGGAGGATGGATGGATGGAGGCACTGCTGTAGGCGGCTCCCTGAAGATGGAGACGCAGCGACAGCGCAGGAACACAGTGGTCAAGCCAAACAGGGCGAGGACACGGGTGCCCCACAGAGCCCCCCGAGTTCCCCTCCGCTCTCCAAGGCATTCTCCGTGCTTATTCCACCCTGTTCCTCTTGTGCAAGCCCTGCCCCTCCTCCAGAATCATTAATCCAGAATCATTTTTCATGGCTTTATTCCTTCCCCTTGGGGCAATAAGGAAACTCCCTTACCTAGAACGCCAGGTGCACAGGCCAGGTCGCGTACAAGGGAGTTGTAGTGCCCCAGACTCTGGGGGCTTTGGGGGGCTGCTTGTTCCTTGTCTAACTGCCGCCACAGGACTCAGATGAGTGGCTCGCCAGTGTTCCTTTTTCTGAAACATCACTTCCAGGGGGTGAGTGCAAGGTTTCACGAGTGAGCGTCTGGGAAGAACTCCTGGAGCTCCTCACGAATAAAATCTCACAGCTGTAAATTCTGATGTCTTAGAACAATTCCTCATAAACTCCCAAAAGCACTGAAAAGTGTGTTGGTCGCTGGTCACGTTGGATGCGTATGTCTGCCTGAGGTACACACCTGCATGGAGCCCACACACACGTGGCCCTGCATATATATATATGTTGCTGCAGGTGGTCGAATGCGTGGGTGAGCGCCACACCTAACATCATGCGCGTCATGCAGTGGCGATGTACAGAGTGCCGTGCATTCACTGAGGGCCTTGGGCAAGTGTGGCTGCAGAGGGCACGCAGCTGTGGGCACGTGTGTAGGCTGTGTGATCGCATGCATGTGTGTGGGTGTGCTGCTTCACAGCTGTGTGCACACATACTGCTCATACAGGTGAGGTACATTCACCTGGCAGCAATTACGCTTATTCTGTGCAGGAGCTTGCTGACTTACGGAGAGAAAGGCCACCTGTGACCCAGGCTGTCTGGGCCTTGGGAGCTAAACAAGGCCGGCTGGTGCTCGCCTCTGCCCTGGCGTCTCAAGCTGCAGGGAGAGCTCCGTGAGTTCCAGTGACACCGGGCGGCATTTCTCCTAGCTATAGCAAGGCAAGGTGAGCTGTTATCGAAGAGTCCGAGCTGGGGTCAGAGAAACAGAAATGGATGAAACTGGTAATACAGGGTTTCTCTGCACTTTTGGTAATTCACAACGAAAAATGCAAGGCTTCAGTAAGGGCTAGAATCGATTCCTGAAACCAAGGTGTGTTCTCAGTGGTCTGCGCCTCAGTCCTGCAGCTCCCTCCCAAAGAAGCCCAAAGCCAAACAAGACTCCAGTTGAGGACATGGAGTTCTATCTGGAGGCTGTTTGCTGAGCGCCCTCTCTCACCCAGGGCGCCACCGGGAATCACTGTGAAAGCGCTTCTCAGAAATGTATTTGCGGTTTGGCTCCTATTCTGACTGCATGGAGAAAGGGGGCTTTCAACTGTGGAACTAGAGTGGGTAAGGACCTAGCGACACAGCTGGTGCAACTTATTCAATAGGCTTAGAGGTGCTCTACATATGAACGGCCACGAGGTGGCGCTGTTACTCTTAAAAATGGGAGGGGTGGCCGTGCGCTTGTCTGGTGGTGGTGGCTGGTAGGTGGCCGTGGCGTGGTGTCAAATGGGGTGTGTATGTAGGGCGTATAATGTGTGTGTTGGGTTAGCCAGCCATGCCCTGTTCTCCCTCACGCTCCATCACCACAGCCCAGCAGAACCCAGAAAACAAATGTCAAACCAATTATCTTTCCTGCGATGCCTTGGGGAAGAACAGTGACTTGTGAGCCTCTTTCCTTTATTACCCCATTTTCTCCCTCACTTGTTCTTGCCAGTATCCCTGCCCCCTGGGCTCCCCAAACCCAGAGAGGCTGGGCTCCATGGCTTTCCTGGAAGGTGCCCCCCACCCCATCCTGGTGATTTCCTTCTGGAAGACAGGTTCATTCCAAAGAGGACTCCTTGAGGCAGACGCTTCAGGCACCCTGCCCTTGAGACCCTGTGAATCCAGAGGGGAACCTTCCCCTCCTCTAAAACCTCTCCGGGGCTGGAAACCACCTCCTAATTCTCCTCAAAGGTCTCAAACTCCAGCCTGCAGGAAAACTTGTCTGCAGGCAGAGCTGGAGCCGGCAAAACTCCTCTACTTGTCCTCTCATTCTTTCTCCACTACCTACCGCCTTTGCAGGGCCTCCGGGGAGGGGCGAGCCTGGACCTGTTTGGCCTGGCTTTGCTGGGCAATCCAGCTCCTCCCCACAGCGCTGAACTTCCCTCGCAGTTTGCAAATGCAGCAGTAATGGACCTGCTTCCCTCCAGGCACTCAGGTCAGGCTGACCATCTATAACTCTGTGGCCCCTTCCCCGGATGCCCACACCTCAGGCTGCACCATGGCCCTGGCTGGGTGGTCCTAGGCAAGTTGTGAGGCCTGCCTGGGCTTCCAGCTCTGTAAAGCAGGGTTAAATCCTCCTGCACTAGCTGGCTGTGAGCCAGTGATGGGCCAGGCACATTCCCCAGGCCTGAAAGGGCCTCTCCCCTGTGGGCTAAGATGCTCACGGCCTCAGCCCACAGCACCCTGTTGCAGAAGTGGACGGTGAAGGTGAAGGAAGTTCCTCGCCGCAGGAACAAGCAGGATTGTCCAGCAAAGCCAGGCCCATGGCAGTGAGAAACAGGCAAGTCCAGGCTGGCCCCTCCCTTAAGACAGGAACCTGGATCTTGTTTGGGAGGCCTGGGGCCCTGGCCCTGGGCCTAATGCCTGAGCATTGGGGTTTCCTGGGGAAGAAACAGTGTTATGAGAATTGCTCAAAACAGTGAGTGCCCGCCAGAAGACTTTTATTCTATTTTGAAGGAAATCACATTTGTGAACTACACTAGGCAGCTCTGGGCTCTGGAGGGAACGGGCTTCCCCGCCTCACCCCCGTAGCTGTCTTTACATCAAGACACTGGTGTGTTCTGGGCCACATCCCTGGCTCACCGAGTCTGCTAGTCTGTGGTATAGGGGATCTGTGATCCCCTCCAGGCCGTCAGAATTTTTATCATCCTGACAGAAAACTGAGACCTAAAAAGGAAGGGAGCGTTTCCTTCATTTTTGCAAGGGTGAAGCGGGGTAAAGAAAACAAGAGGACACATCCATAAATGGGGAGAGATGGCCAGTGAGCAGGAGGCGGGAGGGGAGAGGTGGCTGAGGTGAGGAAGACGAACTGAAGCCGGCCATGCAGGGGGTCAGCGGTCAGCCAAGAAGCCCCACAGCAGCAGGGGTGTCAGGAACAGGCCTCCTCTCCTTCAGAAGGACCGTGCTGGGCCCCTTTCTGACATCTCTCTGGCTGCACCCTCATTTTTTTGTTGTGGTGGTGCGGCTGTGTTTTGTTTGTTTCAGCTTGTAAATAGTTATGCCCACTCTGGTCTTACCTTCCCCAGAGGGTCTGGACCCTAAAGGCTTCCCCCCACTTCAGGAACCGGCCACCTCTGTGCCCAGAAGGCCCTGAACAGCCAGCTCCCCTTC